AAATCAGAAATATTGAAGGATTATATTACAAGATTCGAAATACATCAATTTTTAGGATGTCCTATAACTATAAAAGAATCTTGACAGCTAAGGGAGTGCCCCAGTTGCATGTGAAAAAAGAAGACAATAATATAGCACCTTTGACAAAGCTATATGGAGGAAAATAATACAGCTGCATGTAAAGACATAGAAGATAAATGTCAATAATAGAGAAAAACATTTTTTGGATAAAAAGTTAAAGAAACATGTGAAGATGTAGGCACAAGGAGAAAAATAATAGAGAGACAAGTGTGCCTTTACTGATGTACTCAATGATGTAATATAATCTCATAGACTTGTATAAATAGAGGCATTGTAATAGATAGAAATCATCTTGAAATCAAAGTATCTTCTATCAAATTGTAAGCTCGATTTGTAGTGGAGAATCAACATTTCTAAAACCAGTTTTTCTGGAAATCCCTTTATACCAAATAGAAGTCTTGTATAAATTCTGATACGAATAAAATGCCAATATTTTGATATCAATATTAGTTTCTAAATCTTTATTATTATAGATTTTTTAAAGATCAAATAGAAAGTTTCCTTCTTATTTTAGCAAATTTTTTTTTTTAACAGAAGTATATAATTTTATTCTTTAGAATTGATACAGTGAGAGCAAGAAGCTGAAATAGTAAATATTTCGTGAAGGCAGGAGGTTGTTGAAGGAATCAATTTACATATTCAAAACTCAAAGGTCACTCGGTTCTAAGAATAAAGTTCAGATCAAACTTAAAGTAAAACTATTAATTTTTTTCTAAAATTAGAATGAATCTTTTTAGATCTTAAAGAATCAAAAGGATTAATTGTATGATTTGATTAAATGCCAGGATATACAAATGAAGGATTAGATAATCTATTAAAAAGAATGTTAGAAGAAATAAAAAATATTATTTCTCAATTAAAAAATATAAATTTACCATTTGAAGAATATTGTATTTTAATTAGAAAATATGAACAATATATTGTAGATTATTCCTATTTATTAGATCATAAAATGAATTTATATTCAAAAATTCAAAAAGGAATATAAATTGAGATATATTGAGCAAT